GCTCCTTCTTCTGCCATCTGGCACCATCTGGCACCGCCACAAGCAGCTTAAAGTCAATGGGTGCACCAGATTTCATTGGCTAGAACCTCTAAAACCATGAAAACACACCTTTTCATAAGTTAATGATCTCAGGTATGTTGTTATAGAGACAAAAAACTATCGGACACAGACAAGTCCTTCTGTGTTACAAGGGCAGTCCCTTCCATCACAGACATGAGATGTAAAAATGATGCCATAGAAAGGAAATAAAAATTATCCGATCTATGGCAGAAACTTAATACAGGAAATGATACTTTCACTTGCCAGGACCGGCCTCAAGTTCCTTCTTTAAGATAAACATGACCCTAGTTTGTTGACTCCCAATGACTGTGCATTTATTTCAGAGGAGATTAACACATTTAGAAAAAAGAGAGAGGGGTAGAAGAAGGGAAAGAAAATATGAAAAGAGGGAAAGAAGAAGACAAATTTTTTTTTTTTTAATATCAGTAGAACTACAGAGAAGGGAAATCTGAGGATGTTCCCCAATTTTCAGCTGTTTGGATGTTCATTACACCTTCACACTATCAGAAGTGACCACACAGAACTGGGAGACACAGGTCTCCCCCCTCCCTCACAGGAGGTTCCTGAAACACTAACTTGGCTGGCCTCCCAGGTCAGCCATCTTTCTGCCAGTGATCAAATGGCTATGAAGTATCAATATATCAAGCAAAACCTTTTGAATTTCCAATGTATAAACAAAAATAGGATACAGGTGTGTGCTGTGTGTGTGTATGAGAGAGAGTGAAAGAAAGGCAGAGACAGAGATAGAGAGACACTGGGACAAAGGGAGAGAGGAGAAAGACAGAGACAGACACGGAGAGAAATGCAGACAGAGAGATCTGTTCAAATTCCAGGGCTGGTGCCTGGGGATGATGGCACTGAAGCCTTCCTTCTCTCAGTGACAAGGAGCAATGTGATGTCTCAACAGCACTGGCCAACTTCCCTCCTTCTCCTCTTAAATGCAGCCATGAAACGCTGTCACTTTTCATCAGGACTGGATATGCTGAATAAAAGCAGCCCGGACATAAGCAGTCTTTTGACCTGCTTAGAGAAGCGTTGCTGCTGATAGTTTTTTATTTCTTCAAAGCCCTGGAGTGGTGGCTCCAAAAATGGAGCTGAAATCAGGGTGTGGATCAGGGCGGGTCCCCAGGCATCCGTGTAGGACTCTCCGTCTATAGGGGCTGGATTGGGGACGCTGCTCCCACAGGCTCTTGGGACTCTTACAAAGGTTACAGTTCTAATGAAACTGCACAGTCCCACATTTTTTTTTCCAGGGCTGTCAATGTTACATTTACTAGCCTCCACATGCCTTTTCTAAAAAAGCTCTCAGAAAAGGATGACCAGAGTGCTGGCCAGGTTAATTCCTAGGTATACTCTAATAATATGGGCTGTTGATCAAACAGTGTTTTGTTCTGTACTGGATAGTGTAGTAAATATACTTTTCCCATTTATAGTATTTAAAGACAGATGCTCTGAATGACACGGTATAGATTTGGGAAAACTGAGGCTTTCACAAGATAAATCAGTTGTTCGGGGTCACACTGCTGCTAAAAATCTTAGGATCTGCCCTTCTGAAAGCCTTTCCTGCCTTCAACCATGCTCAGCCCTTGGAGGAGGGCAGTTCTCCTGGTGGGAAGAGTTCTGGTTTTGTGGTCAGAAACTTCCCATAATTAGTGATGCAATCCACATGGCAGGCACGCTCGCCAGGCCCTCCCCTCATCTTCCACATGGGATAATCATTTCTATACTGCCTTTCAATAGGACTTAAGGAAAGTACCAACACCTGTTGCTGAGTTCATTTCTCTGAGACAAACTTCCCTACTCATGTGCTCAAGGTCTAGAATGAGAAGCGGGTTGACAGAAGTGGCACAGATAAGGAAAGTCTAGAATTAAAGTTCTGCTATGGTTTTCCATTTTTATTTCCTTATTCCCTTCTATCTTGGTGTAACTATCTGGGGAATCGCCTATTCTAATGTCTCATAATTTCTGCATTTAGAGTTTGGATATAAAAACACCCCAAACACTTGTTTGCCAGCTGATAGAAACAGCTTCTGGAAACTGACTGAATCGTGAGGACTCTAATCTAATGAATGGATTAATCCATACGTGAAGTCATAATATGAAGGCACTTCTGGGAGATGGTGGCAACTAGGAAGTGGGAGTCTAGTTGGTGGAAGAAGGTCACTGGAGCCTTGGTCTAGAAAGCTATGTCGTCTTCTGTCTCCTGGCTACTTCCTGGCTGCCATGAAGTGCGCAGGCTCCTCCAACACATGCACCTGCCAGTACAGTGTCCTTCCGCACCTCGGGCCTAACAGCCTTGAGAGAAGCCCACCTCATAGATTGAAACCATGAACCAAAACAGATCTGTCTTCCATTAAGTTGTTTTTCTCAGGTATTTGACCATTTGACTAATGTATCTACTAACATGCAAAGCTACTGGGACATGCAGTCAAACACTCAAAATAGGGCACTCACAGTATATATTCAATAAATATCTAAAGGAAGTTCAGAAGAAAGGTAGGCAGGGAGAGAGCAGGCAATACTGGCATTTCCTCAGGTTCTCATTTAATGATTAACTGTTGGTATTTCAACCACACCTGTGCCATTTTGAGTCTCTAGCAAATTAATTCGGGCAAAGCTATTTGATTTCATTCTGTCATTACTAATGAATAAAGAACTTAAAAACAACGGCAATACTCAAAACAATGAAATTCCATGACAAACAGTCTAAACAAACTAATAATTTGTAGTTTGGATGAACCTATCATTTTTCTCCAACAAACATGCTAGTGTGGGCCTCCTGTTTCCTTAAAATTCCAAATTAAAGTTACCCTCATGAAGACCGACCACACACACACACACACACACACACACACACACACACACACACACTCTTTCTCTCTCTCTCTTTCTCTCTCTCTGATTCCCACAGAACTGACATAAAAATGCTGCAAATAGTAGCTAATAAAATCCCAACACAATGTGTGTTCCTACCTCCATCAGTTAAGACAACATTGACACAGAAAAATCTGTAACAACATACAAGTGAGAACCTGGAGGAGCTCTTGAAAAAAACATGCAGACATCAAGAAACAAAAACAAATTTAGGATGGTTTGGTTAGCAGCTATGTTTGAAATAGAAATAAAACATACTAAGTATTCAGATATTACAAAGTAATATCTGATTACTAAGTAATAGCTGAATTTGTCCCCAACCATACAGCAAGGATTTGGGGGTGTATATGTATAAGAAAATGAAATGGTTATCATCATACACATAATACACTTGTGGCTAAAGCTCTGTAAAAAAGATTGTAAAAAATCAACCAATTGTCAACTCTAAAAAAATCACTGAAAAGAGAAAACAAATGCCAATCTGGACCCTCCCAAAAGTTTTTGACATTAGGAACTTAGTGAATCTTCTCAACTAGAGGAATCCATGTAACTACCATCACCAAAGATTTGGCTACAAGAGATAGCATCTCCGTTAACTATAGGACATCACCAGCCCAGAGGCAGGGTTTATTCTATTGTGAAATGTAGACACATCAGGAGCTCTGGGGCCCTCTCCACAGGTCTGCAGGGACAAGAACACACATACACACAGAAATGGAGTAGAGTAGGGCTGTGTGTGAGAAAGTCTGGGAATGTAACCTGCATCACAGATCTCTCCTCCCCTAACTGAATCCTGTTAAAAACCAGTCATCAGAACACAGTTCACATACAAAAATGCTTCCCCTCATAGAGTCAGAGGGCTTTGAGTGAAAAGTATCACATTGTCAAGAGACCATTCATTTCTAACTGACACAGCTTTTATTTCCAAGAGCAAAATCCAGGCACAAAATCAGAGCCTATCAATAAGACTTACTGGAGACAAAAGTAAACAAACACAAAAGGTTTGAACTAACCCCATTCACTAGCAGGTGGAGACTGAAGGCATACCATACGCCATAACCAGGACCTGAGAAGCTGAAGGAAAAACTCCTTATAGATGGCTTTTAAGTTTGGAGGGAGGAAAAAGCCTAACTTTCACTGGGCATAGAATATAAAAGGTTACATAAGCAGCTGCATCCCAAATGTTAGGCCCAAACAGAGCAATTGAAGTTGACTTGGAAGATGGTTAAAGTGCCTTCCCTAATGACTGTTAATAAATAAAAAGTTCTTTCTTTAGTTGGTAGGAGGATAGTTACTCTTGACCATTTTGATTTCCCAGAAGATGGTGGAGATGCGTATGAACTTTTTTATTTTTCAGATTAAAAAAAAAAAAAAAAAGCCCAAAGCCCTGTTTCTGAAGTCACATCAGGCTCCTTCTCCAAGCCTGGCTCCCGCCTTCCCCCCACTCCCCAACTTGCCTATGGGGACATTCTCCAATGAAACTTTTTCCGAAAGTGAAGAATCAAAAGTGTGGTGAAGCAGAGGCCAAGGAGGCCAGGCTGAATTCAGTGAGGGTGATGACAAAATGAAACTACCCAGCCAGAACACACCGGGCAGCCGGCACTCCCAAGCCTGGAATCGCCAAAGGTTCCCAATCGTTCCTGGAAGTGGTCGAGCCTCCTCTAGCTGAGCTCCACCTGAGGCCCCACATCTCCCCAGGGTGGGGGGGTCCAAGTCTGTTTATCCCTCTCTCCCCCCCTCCGACTTCAGGCCCACCCCCTCCCTGCAGAAGACCGCACCTGGGCTGATGCGCGGGCCTCCCGGGAGGGAGCGCCCCACCTGCCCCCCCCCCGCCCCCCTCCCGGATCCGGGCGGTGGACCTGCCAGGCCGGGCGCACCTTCCCTGTTCCCAGCCCTCCGCGCTCTCCTCCCAGGAGGCTGGAAAGGGGCTGCTGATCACACACACACCCGGGACCCTGGGCGGCCAGGCGGGCATGATAGAAGGACGCAGAACGCCAGGACCGGAGGGGGCGGGAGGCGCCGGCGAGGGCGCCGTCGGGGGTGGGGGGAGGTGGGCGGCCACTTACTCGAAGGCGAAGAAGAGCCCGCTGGTGACCAGGATGAGGACGAGCGTCAGGTAGAAGACGCCCGTCTGCCGGGCCATCATGATCCGCCCGTTGCAGAAGAACTTGTTCCTCCCCGGGAACACCTCCCATTTCCTGCGGGCGGCGATCCTCTTCTTGGAGTGGGGCGACTCCATGGGCGAGGAGCCGTGGGTGCTGATCTGGCTGTACTCGCAGTCTGTCATGGGCCCGCCGCCGGGAGGCATCCACGAGGGCAGCGGGCGGGGGGCGCACGCCCCCAGGAGCCCCCCGGCGGCCACGGTCGCCCCCCGGGCCGCGGCGCCGCGACCCCTAGGCCGGCTCCCGGCTCGCCCGCAACGCGGCCGAAGACGCCGGGGTCAGCCCCGCGGGGCGCCCCGCTGGCATAGCACGGTCCGCCGGCGGGGACCACGCTGCGCGCCCCGGCCCGCGGCAGCGCTCCTCCGCGCCTTCCAGTCCGCGGCCCGGGGATCCGGGGCTCGGGGGCCCCTCCGCGGGAGCCGCCGCGCGCGCCCGGCCCCCCGCTCCCCGGGCTGCGCCTCCGCCCCGAGCGCCGCGCCCGGAGGGGACTCGAGGCAGCGGCCCCCGGCGTGCGCCCCGCGCCGGGCTCGGGACCGGCGGATCCTCGCGGGCGGCTCAGCCCCGGCGACGCCTCCCCGGGGTGGGGACGGCGCCCGCTGCTGTCAGGAGCGCCGGCCACCCCGCGTCCGCGCCCGCAGCCCGGCCGAGCCGCCGGCGCCCGCGCGGGGCTCCGGGCTGAGCGCTGAGCGCGGCGGTGGCGCTCCGGGGATCCCTCGCTCCCGGCCCCCGAGCCCGGCCCCCGCCCCGCCGCCCGTCTGCCCGCCCGCCCGCTCGCCCGGAGGCCGCTGGAGGGCCGCGGGGACACCGGCACTGACACTTGTTTGCAACGCGGCGCTCCGGAGCGCGGGGCGAGCGGGCCCGCCTCCTCCCGGCCCGGCGGGCGGCGCCGGCCCCTCCTCCGCCGCCGCGGCCCCGCCTCCTCCCGCCGCGGCCCCGCCTCCTCCCGCCGCGGCCCCGCCTCCTCCCGCCGCGGCCCCGCCTCCTCCCGCCGCGGCCCCGCCTCCTCCCGCCGCGGCCCCGCCTCCTCCCGCCGCGGCCCCGCCTCCTCCCGCCGCGGCCCCGCCTCCTCCCGCCGCGGCTCCTCCGTTCACTGCTGTTCCTCCCCCTCCAGCTCCTTCTGCTGCTGTGCCTCCCAGCTGCGGCCCCTCCTCCCACTGCTCCTCCCTCCTGCTGCTCCTCCCTCCTGCTGCTCCACCCTCCTCCTCTGGCTGCTCCTCCTCCTCCTCCTCCTCCTCCCACTGCTCCTCCTCCGGCACCTCCTCCTCCCGTTGCTCCTCCCACGGCTGCTCCTCCTCCTGCTCCTCCTCCTCCTCCCGCTCCTCAGGCTGCTGCTTCTCCTCTTGCTTCACCTGCTGCTGCTCCTCCTCCCGTTATTCCTCCTTCACCTCCTCCCCCGCCCCGCTCCTCCCGCTCCTCCTCGTCGGGGTCCTGTACGGTCCCCGCCCTCCAGCTGGCGGCCGGGACCCACCGAGGCCCGAGCCCCGGGGCACCCGTCCCACCCGGGGCGCGGGCGCTCCGGGTGGGCTCGGTCCGCCTGCCGGCCCGGCACGCCCACGGTCACTCGGCCCGCAGGAGCCGGGAGGCGACCCGGGCAGGGTCCTCCACTCTCCCCTGCGGACGCGCGGCGGAGACGCGGGGGCTCCACGGACGCCCGGGAAGAAGGGCGGGAGACGCGGGGCCGGCTACGGGGACCAGGGGCTCGGCCCCAGCCGGGAGGGCATGGAGAGGATGGACGGGGGAGGGAGGGAGGACGGGGGAGGAAGGGAGGACGGGGAGGGAGGACGTGGGGAAGGAGGGCGTGGAGAGGGAGGGAGGACGGGGGAGGGAGGGAGGACGGGGGAGGGAGGACGGGAGAGAGGGAGGACGGAGGGAGGGAGGGCGTGGAGAGGGAGGGAGGACGGGGGGGAGGGAGGACGGGGGAAGGAGGGAGGGCGTGGAGAGGGAGGGAGGGCGTGGAGGACCCCTCCTGGGTGGCTGCGCTCCGTCCAGGTAGCCGCGGGCACTCCCCGCGCTCCCCCACTACGCGGCCTGACAACTGTGGGCGGCCCAGCCTGCTGCGCCTGCGCACTCCTGCTCTCCGCTGGGTGGGCGCCCTGGCGGGAGTTGGGGGGAATGGCGGGTCGGGCATTCGTGCGAAAGGCAGCGGGGTGGGATGATCGGTTTACCGCGCTGGCTTTCCTTCCCTAGCCCCCTGGGATATGTAGTTCTCCTTCTCATCGCCCTACTCTGAAAACTACAGCTTTGTGACCTGAAACTACAATTCCCAACATCCCTTGCGAGCAAAGTGGGCCGGGCAAGGTGCTGAGTGTTCTGGTGCTGGGTAGTTGGAGGTGGGAACCAAAAAAGGGGTGGTGGGAAGTGGTTGCTGCTTCGTGCTGGGCACAGTTGTTCTTTGTGCAATTTCACCAACGCACTATAGGAGCTGGCCTATAGAAACTACTTGCCAAACATCACGACGCTCCTTGGTGGCAAAAATGGCACTGAACCCATACCTCTAAGCATTTCCCTCACAGAGCAAAAACCTCAGTGCAGTGTCCAAGGGAGAGGAAACTGTCTGGCCAAAAGATAAAACGGACATAAAACCAATTGGGAAGAGCTTCCTGTAGTAAGGAAAAAGTAACAGGAATTAAAATGGGATATGCAGGTCTATTATAAAGCAAGTTTAGCGTCCTAGGGGAATAGATAGGTTCTTAAACACAGTATCAAAATTAGCTTTGAATTATTCACAATATTGTGTGACTGACAAGCATATTATAGGGACAGTTAGGTACTTTATGGTTGCATTATTAAACATCCAACTGGCAGGCCTCTAATGTTTAAAGGAAAGCTGTCCTGCTTTGCTATGCTTTAGCTGGCAAGTACCTTTTCTCTGGGTATAAAGTTAATACAATACAACGTTTTCTTGAGGCTGGCCAGGAAATACATGCAAGACTCTCTTTAAAAAGTAACTAAAGCAAAAAGGGCTAGAGGTCTGGCTCAAGTGGTAGAATACCTACCTACTAAGTACAAGGCCTTGAATTCAGACTCCAGTACTGCCTACCTCACCCCATAAGATACTGAACTTTTCTGTCATCATAGTTAAGTTCTTCAGAAATCATCATCTATGAGGGATATAGACTCCAACATTTACAAGTGAATAATATACAAATCAGGAATGTGATTTAAAACACTCCAGCCAACCCACCTCTTGAAGACATAGGGTACATAGGATAAAACAATTCCAGAAACTGGCCGGTGGTGGCTCACACCTGTAATCCCAGCTACTCAGAAGGCTGAGATCTGAGGATCTCGGTTCAAAGCCAGCCCGGGCAGGAAAGTCAGTGAGACTCTTATCTCCAATAAACCACGCAGAAAACCGGAAATGGTGCTGTGGCTCAAGTGGTAGAGTGCTCGCCTTGAGCTGAAGAGCTGAAGGACAGTGCCCAGGCCCAGAGTTCAAGCCCCATGACCGACCAAAAAAAAAAAAAAATTCCAGAAACTGTTGGAAATTGTTCGTATCAGGTGCTAGAACTCTATTTAGTTAGGCATTGCTGCAAATTATCACAAACTTCAGAAAGACAGAAATGTCTGTCACTGCGTCATCAGCTGGTCCGTGCACAGTGAGTCCTTACTAAATAAAGGCTTTCTATCTGCCACCAAGGCATTGGCTGCACGGTGTCAGCACCTGAGGAAATGCTGGCTTTTGTGCTCACTCATGTAAATGGCAATTCATTTCCTTGAAGCTATGCCACAGCACCTGGCTTCTTTCTGGGTGTCCACTAATACTGGAGACTATCCATACCACCAAGAAGGTGCTTGCAGTTCTTAGAGGTCACTTGTAAGGCTTTCACTAACCCAGTGGGGAGCATCAGCTAAGAGGAGCCTGGGCTCTAATCAAAGGAGCACATTCAACTGGCTCAAAAGCAAGTCACAGGTTGCACAAACCCATCTCCCTTTCCCTTCCTTTCCTGCTCACCTCGTCTTCCTTTTCCTCTGTCCTTCCTGGCCACCATGAGGTCAGCAGCCTTTGTCTACCACATACTTCCTGCCATGAAGTACTACTGCCTATTCACAGGCCCAAAGGACCAGGCCAACCATTTGCAGACTGAACCTCCAAAATGGTGAGCCAAAATAAACTTCTAGCCTTTTTTTTTCTTTTTCGTCTGTCGTGGGGCTTGAATTCTGGGCTTGGGTGCTGTCCCTGTGCTCTTCAGCTGAAGGCGAGTGCCACTTCCAGTTTTCTAGTGGTTTGTTGGAGATAAGAGTCCCACAGATGTTCCTGCCTAGGCTGGCTTTGAACTGCAATCCTCAGATCTCAGCCTCCTGAGTAGCTAGGATTATAAGCCTGAGCCACTGACACGCAGCTCCTTCCACACTTTTCAATTGATTCGTAGTTACTTTCTGAAAGCTAATTCTGTTATTCTGCCTCTGATTTTTACAATTAACTTGTCATCAGATCAGGTTGGGCATGTCAGGATCTGCTGTAAGCCTTGTAACATGGGTCTATAGTAGTGTTCACTCAAAGGCTAAAGGACCTTTCCCTACAATGTTGCCCCTTTGGGCATGCTGAATGCTCAGGGTCAGCATCAGGATCCCATCTCTCAGTGACAGAGCTGAGTGCTTGTGGCACTCACCTCATTTTCTGCCTATTGCACAAATCCAAAAGCAGCTGACAGCTGGGCAACTGGCAGCTCATGCTGTATTTCTAGCTACTAGGAGGCTGAGATCTGAAGATCCTTGTTTGAACTCAGCTCAAGCAAGAAAGTCTGTGAGCCTCCTATCTCCAATTAACCACCAAACCCCTGGAAGGAGAGTTGTGGCTCTAGTGGTATGGTACCAACCTTGATTGGAAAAGGCTAAGTGACAGTGCCCAGGCTCTGAGTTCAAGTCCCAGTATCAGCATACATGCACACATGTACACACACACACACACACACACACACAGAGATGACATATATTTTGCTGGTCATTTGTGGAGAGAGGACTATTAAGGTAGAATTCTCTGAAGTGTCATGGTCTGCAGTAGAATTCACATGACAGATTTTTATAAATATCTTGGGGTCATAGTCAGTTGCGTGGGAAACCAGGGAAGCCACTGAATACAGTGCTGTATTTTCACCCATGGATGGGTTTCCTGCCTCTGTCCAGGAGGCTTTTCCTGATGCTCCTCCATGTTCCCCACTTTCAGTCCTCTGAGTCTCCCACCCC